GAAGTAAGTGAACATTGCACCTAATAATTACTCATGGGTGTTCAAATGAGTGTCACATTGGTTATAAATGAAGTAATAGAATTAAAAGGTGTGGAAAAAATTTTCTCATGGTGCTAGGTCGGTTCTATGTGGCTTCTATATCTGTCATTTGGTGATCCTTATTTCTTGTAGTTGATAATTTAAGGTGCTTACATTAAAACGACATTCGGGATAATTGGAGAGAAGAAAAAGTGTGGACGAGTTATTTTCCTCTACATGCAAGGAATAATAGCATTCTTTAGGCTAAAGAAAGTTTGAAAGAGAAAATACAATTAGGGAAATTTACATGCATACCACACAATTCTTATCTTTTTACATATCTAACACTTAATAGACCTCAGTGTCATAAACTTATGCATGAAAGGTGTAATTCACTTTTACAAGATAGTGATGGTGATATTTTGATGTGAAGTTAAGGATTTGAGGTGATATGAATGCTTAAGTGTATGATATGTAAACACATAAGATTGTGTGACAATGAAAAAAAAAAGAACAAAGAAAAATTGCACGACGTCAGCATCATTTTTTAGTATCTTAGTACTTGATATGAAATTTCTTCTTTATTGCTTGCTATTATGTATTTTACTTGATTTTCTCCATGAGACTTAACTTTTTATTTTAAAAATTATGTGTGTATTACTCAAAAATTTTCTTATTTGATTACATGAAATCCAAGCAAAAAAAAAAAAAAAGGTAGATTTGCTTTTTGGCAAGTGTAATGGCCATCTCTTTTTGAATTCAATGAAGTTTTAAAAAAAATACGATGTATATTTTGTTGTTGTGTTAAGTGTAACTAGAAATAAAAATAATCAGATATTAATTTTATAAATAATCACGATTTTAATATTACATAACATTTTGCTCCTATTTTTTTCATAAATTGGCCCCTTTTTTGGTTGCAAATATGGTTGTACACTTTTGTAAGTTTTTTTTTTACTTTTGAATGTTTCTCAAATTTCTGATTTTATTTTGTTGTTACTCCTATATTCTTTCTTGCTATTATTCTTTAGGTCTGGATTTAGTTTAATATCTGGTTTCTATTTCTCTAAGAGACTGTATAATTTGTAATATTTTCTTTCAAATTCTTGTATTCTTTTCATAATGATTTGTTCCAAGTTCTAAATGTCAAACTTTCATCATTGTAAGAATTGATGTTGGAGAGCACTACTCCCCTGTTTTTCCCATTTTAATTGTATGTATTTGTTGATGCTTTCTTTCCACATTTAAATATGTTTAATATGCATCAAAGTATTTTTTAAATTATGTTACCACTACTGTTTTTTTTTCATCATTATATCAATTTTTGTTAAATATACTCGTCTTTGTTTTTTTCTTAACAATGTTTTTTAAATGTTTGAAATTTGTTTAGTGAGCCGGGTAATATGTCCGTGTACATAATTAGCAAATTTTATGTTTATTAAGGTATTGTAGCAACTTAAAAAACTAAACCACAAGAAAGTGTGATTTCATGTCTAAATCTGCACAGTTGAAAATGTTGATTGATAGGTTTTAGAAGAAAGAAAATTAATCTTGATTGTTCATGTCTAGAGATTGTAGTTTTTGCCCTTTGCACATATTTTTCACCATTGCTTGTTTTAATCCACATATACATGATCTACAATATCTCATCCAAGTTGATCTTGTTTACAACAACTCCCCTTGCTAGTCCAACTTTTTTTTGTTAAATTTAGATTATTGTAATTGGGATGAATATTTGGTTTTAAGTGTCCTTTACAATGAACTTTTGTAAGTTATAATTCATTATGGATTTTGTAAGTTATAATTCTTTAATTGTCCTTTACAATGAACATTGTTGTAGTCTTTACTTTGCACTTGTATATGATTACCCCTTTTGTTTTCCCCAAATTATCACATGAGTTTTAATTGCGTATATGATTACCCCTTTATAACACTGATTGTTTTCCCCAAATTATCACATGAGTTTTAATTGCATTTTTTAGACTTTGACTCTTTCCTTGCATTGGGGATAGGATTTTTCCCATTCCTTTTCCACATATGTAAGATTCCATTTTATTTCCCTTCCATAGGTGACAAGATTATTTTTCAGGTTTCCCTTCCAGATTTGGAGGCATCTATACTATTTCTCATTACATTGGTGATAGGATTTTTTGAAGTATCTTTTGATCTTTGACGTTCTTCTTTCACAGACTATATGCTCCAATCTTAGTTTTCCTTCCATTTGTCTAGATATTCCATCCATGCTTTGAGTAGAAGTTTACTCCATCTTATCTCTATATGTTTAAATTAATAGATAATGGAGGCCTACTCTTGGCTGATTACATAGAGTGTGATGTAATGGACACATTATTTTAATTTGCTTATAACTATCCAATTTATATAACATTAAATGTCATATATTTTTTTCAATGGTATTGAATTATATGATGCATAATGTTCTCTCTTTGTTGGATGTTTGTATCATGATACATGTATATTATTATATGTTATCTTTATTTTTTTTTTTACATAGAATGGCAAACATCCTTTTTTTTGTTCAGATTATGATGTGATAGATACACAATTGCACCTTAATATATTTAAAATTTTAGGTTATAAGATGCCAATTATTCTACATTTGGCCAATTTCCAAGATCATGTTGTGTTGTGCACACCATTCTTTGTTATCTTTACATGTTATATTATAGAATGTCATGCATTTCTTTTTTTTTTTTTGGTTATATTATAGAATGTCATGCATTTTTTTTTTTTTGGTAAGTTACCTGAATCATTGGTTAATAAATGCACTTTGCATGAGATTCAACTTATTGAACCATAGGTTAAAAGGACTTTATCTATATTCTCTTTAATGTTTAAACTATTAAGGATATAAGATATCTCCGTCTTTCTTTCTCTCTATAATCATAAGTTGAGGAGATTTTTAATGTCCAATAAATATTCAAGCTCTTATTTTGGTTGTTCATAGATAAAAGGGTGCTATACTTAATTTCCTATGACCCATAGATGAAATTATGGCGTATGACTTATTCAAATCACTCTATGATCCATAAATGGCATTTGATGAATCATCTTTGTGAGCCATTAACCCTTGGATTTTGTACACTTGATTCATTGCATCTTTGTCCC